CCCATAACCTGTTATTTATTATTTTCAATTGATATTAAAAGTATTAGAGAGGATAAAGGTGAAAAGATGTATTAATCATCAATAAATATTTCAACCCCTAATAGGATTTAGAGATCTTAATTATATCCATCCCTAACAATAATCTTAAATAAGTTCTATCTGAATTACATCCAAAGAAATTACTTTCAATAATAATTTTGCATACAAGGAACAGTTATTAAACCCAAACCCAGAACTATGTAATCTTACCTCAAACTGAATTTTTTACAAAATTAATTAATATCTACACAATGGTAATATCCGTCAACTAGTTCAATTATATTAATTCATTATGAAATTAGGAAATTACTCAAGATTGGTATTGTGATATTCCTATACGTAAAGGACATGTGTTAAAAACATAAAAAAATTGTTCTTCTCTATAACTTTGAATAACAAAAAGGACATAAATTTCGTTATAAAGATAACCCTTCAACTATTCCTGATAGTGGTATTAGCTCTCACTTATACCACCGTTCTAAATATTTCCTAAAAACCCAATTTAGAAGCTTAAGGAGCACTAGGCTTGAAAGGATAGTTTTTTGATTATAGAGGATATGATTTATGATCATTAATTAAATCTAAAGGAAGTTTTATGTTAAAGAATGATCTAAAATAGAAACAAAATAGATTATTTTAAAAGCCAATCAAAATATCCAAACTCAATTCAATTTTATTAATTTCTTTTAAATTTTTAATGTTTACTTATGTCTATATAAATATAATCTATAAAAATAATATTTATTTCAGTCAAAAGTGAGAGTCATTTTAAACACAAACTTGATTAAGTTAAAACTTTGCTTTTAAAAAAATCTGCTTTAGAAAAATGTTTCACTCTTTCAAATTGACATAAATTTCTCAGGTTTAACCCTCTGTGAGTCAAGTAATTCAATACCAAAGATTTAAACTTGAAAGCAATAAATTGAATATATGAATACTGAATCATAAATGCTAATCTTGGTGATATCTTTTCTAGTGTAAGGTACTTTTGGTTTGTAATATAAAACTCAAAATATAGTAATAGAAATTCATTATTAATTTTAAAAAAAGAAAATGTATTGTGTACAAGAGTAAGTTGGAGAGTTGTATCAGATTTTGTCATTATCCAATGAGGTTGATGAAGTAGTCCTCCCTATCCTCATAAACATATTAAAAAAAGAGAGAATTTAAGACTGCCTAGAATTTCTCTCGTAAGATCAAAACAAATTTTTTTTTGAAATGGAAAGGGAAAAGGTAGAAAACTAATCTCTGCTTGAAAAAGTGATAGACTCTTTATGGAGAGAAGAACATTAAGATAATAACAGGTGTCCTCAAAAAAGTTAAGGATCATGACTTTAATACACAGAATTACTCTATGAATGATTATAAAGAATTTAAAAAGGATCTAATCACAAAAATATCATAGAATAAAAAGATTATAGAATTCCTAAAATTTTTAGTTCATCTAACTGCTTTAGATGAGACCTATATTTGTTGTGGATCAAATTCTCTTCATTTGCTAGTTTAAATGAAAGTGGATTTGAGGGAATATAGTTTTGAGAATATCAGGATAAGAAATACCTCTTTAGTTGGTGGAAATTTTATACGATGCAATTTTAATGGATCAGAATTTGACAATGTAGATATTAGTGGAATGAACTTGAATTAAGCTTAAATGTTTAATTGTAATTGGAAGAATATCAAAATACATGAGTTAAATAAATTATATGGTCATCATAGAAGTGTGAATTAGGTCTGCTTTTCTCTAGATGGTAAGTAATTAGCTTCTTGTAGTGCTGACAATTCAATTATATTGTGGGATGTTAAAACAGGAAAAATAAAGTCTAAAATCAATTAAAAGGATGAAGTAAAATCAGTATGCTTCTCATCAAATACCAGTACCTTAGTTTTCAGCAGTGGAAGATTTGTATATTTATGGAATCTTAAAACAGGAAAATAAAAAGCCAAATTAGATGGTCATTCAAATGATGTTAATTCAATTTATTACTCTCCTGATGGTACTACATTAGCATCTGGTAGTGCAGATGAGTCTATCCGTTTATGGAATGTTAAGACAGGATAATAAAAAGCCAAATTAGATGGTCATTCAAGTGCAGTTGATTCAATTTGTTACTCTCCTGATGGTACTACTTTAGCATCTGGTAGTTGGGATAAGTCTATTCGTTTATGGGATGTTAAGACAGGATAATAAAAAGCCAATTTAGATGGTCATTAAAGTTGGGTTTGTTCAATTTGTTACTCTCCTGATGGTACTACATTAGCATCTGGTAGTGATGATAAGTCTATCCGTTTATGGGATGTTCAGACAGGATAATAAAAAGCCAAATTAGATGGTCATTCATAATAAGTTATGTCAATTTGCTACTCTCCTGATGGTACTACTTTAGCATCTGGTAGTGCAGATGACTCTATCCGTTTATGGGATGTTAAGACAGGATAATAAAAAGCCAAATTAGATGGTCATTC